GTCCCAGGACAGAGGCTTGTCCATTAAACCATCCTTCCTCCCCTAAACACTCTCACAAACTTTCTTGATATGCATCTAGAACCAGTACCCTGAATCTAAATATTGACTAGATTTGGGGAAGGTTCAGATCAAGACTCAACTCAGATTCAGCCCTACTTCCTAGGTCCAGTATACAGTATGCATAAACTGAGGGGTGAGAAAAGGTCAGTGGAAAAGAGAAATAATGATTTATTATAAAAATAAATGTCCCATTTTCTGCAAACCCTTCTTAGTTTAAGAGAAAGACTATTTCATATAATATGCAAGAAAAAGTTTCTACAGCATTAAATGTTAATGAGTTAGAAATATTATATGGGAAGTCATTGCATTAATGGCATCACTTAACCAGAACATGTTTTATTCTACTACTTTAACCTTCATGTGAGTAGACATAATATATGCAACTGTTTCAATTATCTCTTGTGTCCTGCAATAGGTTTCTTGTAGACACTGGGGAAACTGTTATGACCCCTTCAAGTCATAAGAAAATTTGCTTCCCACCAGGATATGTTGAACAAATTATTCTCAGTTTTAACATGAATAAATCTGATAATTTCAGTGGTCTTCCACTGAAATTATAAAGTGCTTCTTTTATAATCTAAACCAGTGTTTCTCAACCAGTGGTACAAGTACCCTTAGGGGTACTTGAGAGAAGCCTGGGGGGTACGTCAACACAACTGAAATTTGGAGAAAACTGAATTTTTGTTTTAAGTTTTACAGCGTTTTATTATTTTTGTACTTTTTACACCCAAAATTTTCATTGCCCGCCCAGCTACGATTAAGTTGTTTAAACAAATGTGTTGCAATGGTAGAAAAAAAAATTGTGTGTCTGAAAACTGTAGGTACTGGGGGTACTTATAATGTTTTTTAAAGGGATACTTTATAAAAAAAAAAAAAAAAAAAGGTTGAGAAACCCTGATCTAAACCACAATTATCATTTCTTTAATATACATTGAGGGAAAAATTAAAAAGAAAGGTGGAATCTTTCTCTTTTAAATTTTTTCTTTTTTTCCTCTTCCTTCCTTTTGCTTTCTTCTTCTTTTCATTTTTGTTTTGTTTTGTTTTTTGTTCCCATGCCTCAGGGAACACTTCAGAGTGCAATTATTTTGTAGGGCACTTGAACATTTCTAGTGCTTGAAAGACTGTATTGCAGCATCTCATCTCTCTTGGCTAGTTAAAGCAATGCTGCAGTTTGCATTAATTAAAGCCTGCTGTAGTTATGCATTTTATAATTAGCCCTATTGTGGTTCATTGAGATTCAATTCCCAGTTTTAGTTCTGAATCCAAACATTAAGAGCCCCTTACTAATATAATACTCCAGTGAATTCTGTTTAGATATTAGCACCCACTATTTAAGGATCACTTGTATAAATGCTACTTTAGGGCCAAATCTTGTTCTCTGGTGTATTGGTACTCAAGGCAAGGAAAAAGCACAGATAATTATATAACTTTAGCATAAGCAACAGACAAACACTCTAGAGCATTTAAGGGCAAACCAGGAAACACCTCCTGCCTATGCACCAGCCACTGCACACCCAAAGGAATATGGTCTGGAGTCAAGAGTTATGTTTAGCCCCATTTGCAAACTAGAGTCTAGAAAGTACTTATCATCAAGCAATAGCAGAAGCATGATGCCCTGAGTGTTTAAAGGAGCAGCAAAATCTATTTAAGAATATACTATATCAAGCCCACTATAAGTAACCCTGTGCTGGCTAGTGGATATCTTGCAACACATGACACATTGTGGAGCATCTCTGTTCCCCAAATGTTCGGCTTTTAATTTCAGTTTTTGGATTAAATGAATTTGTGCCCAGTTTTCCATAACCTGAATGTTTGTACACACACAATTTTGCTCACATCCATTTTTGCAAAAGAGAATATAGAAAAAAAAGCAATTATAGTCAAAGCAATGTTCTAGTTAGAAATAAGCAAATGCTTTGCATAATATTCACCCAGTTTTCTTGCTCGGTTTCAGATACATTTTCTGAAGGGACTCACCGCACCTTTTCTGGTTCAGAGCAGAGCTGTAGAACTTTTCTGTTCATTTACCTTGCAGTGATTTTCACAATGCTATGTACTTCCTCAGTATAGGCAAAAACAACTGATTCAGGGATATTGTCATTCTGAGATCCATAATCTGTGCCAGGACTCAGCCAATCAGGTTGACAGCATCTATCATGGGGAAACAGTTAAATAATCAAGGTTAGGGAATCTCTGCATTCCTCCCAATCAAGACCAGTGCAGACTTTAAACACAATATCACTACCCTTAGTCCAAGAGGTAGCTCTTGTCAATATATATGCAGTAGCTGTATCCTTCATTCAGAATGGTATTGACCTTATATGTTGTGCCATCTTCTTAAAGGGGTGATGCCATCAATCCATGGTACTTTCACATGGTACAATATGTGGATCCAGATATAGAGTCCAAAGAACTCTAAGATCAAGAGGTTCCGAAGCACTACAAAGAAGGGGACCATTTGCAAAAACTGCATGCAGGTCTTGGGTGTACACAGTAGCTTTGAGGTGACACAGTGAGCTAAGCACTAAGCCTACAGTATCATCTGATCAAGTGTGAAGTAGTCCACATCTCTCAAATTCCTCAGCACAATATCTAAGCACCTCAAAGTTATTAATAGACTTTAATTTGCAATACCCCCGTGACATAGAGATGTACTGTCTGCCTATTTAACAGATGGGATATTGAGGCAGAAAGTAGATTAACAATTTTTTTCATAGTCAGATGGGAAGTTATAACTGATGTTTTAGATGATACATGACTCCTTGACCTCATGCTATGCAGGAGCTTGAAGTCCTGATCTTTGTTTACAGCTGTGGTAAACTTTTGTGATGTGTCCTGCAAACAAGATGTGGACTTTGCATAGCAAGGTGAATGAACTACCACCTTCCATGGTGTGATCCATGTTATACTTTGCTAGTAAATCCAGAGCATCTGGGACCTCCTGCCAATGGAGACTGTCAATGCTCCCTTTGGTATTGATGAAGGAAATCTGCTCTCACAAAACATGCAGAAATCCAGTTAGTGCCTAAGAAATGATCATGTGATACACCTGCTATCCTTGCCTCTCTCAATCAGGTTACAAACTAGGTCATTCAGGTTTATGACTCACTTGAATTCTTATTACTGTATGTATAGGTTATTTTGGTAAGCATCTTCAACTAATTGAGATCATCACTCTTACTGAATTTGCATTGAAGTGTAGACGTTTTAATGTGTGATGAACCTGATCACCAGAAAACCAAGAGCTAAGATGACTCCGATGGCCTCATTTGAAAAAAACTTGTCAACTAAATGACATTTGTGGACTAGGCTCAGTATGACAACTAAGCTGGAGTGCTGCAAAGAGTCCTGCAATTCAACTTTATCCTATAGAATTCAAGCACTAGAACTAACAGAACAATTGCCCGCACTACTGAAATAAGATAAAATAATGTTCAGTCTGAGAACATTGTGTCTTAATCTCATTCTAAATGTGATTTTCAGGCTGTGCATGAATGTCAGAGGGAGCACTGGCCTCAGAGACTATGGCACCCAGAGTGAAACTAGATTACATAGCTCTCTAGAATATGAAAAGGATTTTATAAAGGATTTTCTATTACCAAAGCTTTAAAAAAAAAAGCTTAGAAATTTCACTTCAGAGAAGATATGTTAATAGAAGCCATCTCTTGTCTTCTTGGTTTTACTGGAAGGAAAAATATTAACATAATTAGTGCATAAACATGGAAAGTTGGAGGACCAGAATTCTGCCTCCAGAGGCAGTGCTACAGGGTAGTGACTACTTCAAATTGCAGGGAACAGATGTAGAGATATTTTTGTGGAAGAAAAATGAAGCCACAGCACATTTACTTGGCAAGTAAAATATATACATATTTATCATTTTAGTTTTATCTGACCAGTGATCAAGAAAAAGCTAGAGGGAAAAAGAAAGAAATCTAGTAAGCTAAAAACAACAGCTTAAGTGTTTAATTTTATTTTTTTAAAGACATCTTTGTTTAACTTTAGTTACACTTGACTGAGTCTCATATGAATTTTTTTAAGTCTATATACAAATGTTGTCCCTGTGCGGAGCAGCAGCAGATGTCTAAGGTCTTGCAAGTGAGCCTCTCAGTGGAGAAGTAATCAGTGATGCAGAGACTGAGTATAGACTGAGCATGGCTTGTTTTATTTTCACAAATATGGCAATCCTGGGACGGGGTGATCAGAAAAAGCACTCAGGACAGTCCCCTCCTTTCGCAAACCTCAATCCAACACTATGTCTCATTCCCAGAGAGCAACTCTGCTTCGAGAATTGACTCCAGTCAGAGACCAAGGCAGAGGGCAAACTCTTCTGCTGTTCAAACAGCTCCCTCTACCAAGAGCCTGGCATAGCAAGACTAATCACAACAACACAGCCTTACTTCCCAAGATTAAGGGCAAGTCTACACTACAGTGCTACATCAACATATCTGTATCAATTCAGCTGCACTGCTGTAGCACATCTGGTGAAGACACACTACGCCTATGGTAGAACCCTTTCCCATCAGCATAATTGCTCCACCTTGTCAAGAAGGAGAAGCAATGTTTGCAGGACACCATCTCTCGCTGACATAGCTCCGTGTATGGATACCGTAAAATTTCTATTGCTCAGCAGGGGAACAGGGGAAAGAGAGGAGGGTGCGTTTCATGCCCAGGACTTAGGCGGTAGTGTAGATCAGCTGTCAAAATTTGGTTGCATGCAAGAGAAGAACAGTTGGGAAGCCCATGTGTAACAGTACCACCTGGTGACATCTGTCATAACACTACTCCTCAACTATCCTTGCCAGGAGGGAAAAGTCCCAGATGAGAATTTAGATGGCTGAGATATCCAGTCCGTGCTTCATAGGTTTTTCCATATATGTGACAGATGTTCGCTTGGAGAAAGCACAACTGCTGTACACTTTCCTTTCTCTGTTGTTTTGCAGCCTTTTGAGCAAAGCGATCTCTACGGATTGAGGTATGATGCAACACCACTGCCATCTATTGCCATGCAGCTCTCTACAGTTCATGGGTAAATGCCTCCTTCCTTAAGATATACTTTCAGGGTATCTTGTAGTGTTTCCTTTGTCCCCCATGAGTTCTCTTACCATGGCTTGGGTGAGAAAAAAAGGACTTCCTTTGGAAGACAAGCCTGATCCACTCACACACAATGGCCAGTCCAAGGGGGTGTCTAAGTGTCTAGACTACAGGGTTTTGTCGACAAAAGTGGCATTTTGTCAGCAAAACTATACCTGCGTCTACACTACCGTGTAGTTTTGTTGACAGCAGTAAACCTCATTTTACGAGGAAGAATGCCTTTGTCGACAGAGATCTGTCGAAAAAAGGTGTGTGTGGAGGCAGGGGGCCAGTTCTGTCAACAAAAAAAGGCCTCCAGGAAGAAGCCCTGGTGGACAGTCTAGCCTTTAAATGTACATGTCCTCTGTGGTTCCTGGCCACAGCCTCTTAAAGGCACAGGCACCCAGACAGGCCTTGCTGTCCGGCAGCTAGCCAGAGCACCCGTGACAGCCATGTCCCAGCCTCAAGGCCTCAAGGCCCCCCTGGCCCTTCTCTGGACAGAGACGAGGACCTACCCAGGGGCACCAAAAGGCTGGCACCAGCCTAGTCAGGGCCAGAAATCAAAAACCTGCTGTAGCTCTGGTCCCAGGAAGAAGCCCTGCAGGCCCTGCAAACGTACTACAGGAATGCGGACATTTACGAGTGCCTGGCCCAGGGACTGGCCACCAAAGGCCATCACCCCTACACCATGGCACAAGTCAGGGCCAAGATAAAGGAGCTGTGGCAGGGATATGCCAAGGCCCGGGACCAGAGCTCCTGCTCCAGAGCAGCCCCCGAGAACATCAGATGAGTGCTTTGAAGGGTCACCACACACAGGCGGGTTGGCAGTGTGGGGGGCCAGCTAGTCCCATTGCCACTGTGGGGCCCCTGTGATGCTTTTAGGCTGCTGCCCAACTCACATGCGGCATCACGTGTAACACCCCTAAGTCTCCGGTCCAAAGGAGAGCCCCTGACAGCCATGGCATGCCCTCGGGGACAGCAGGGGTGCACACAGACATTCATTGTCTCCTCCTCTTTTCTTCCACAGCTGGACCCTCTACCCAAGAGGGGAGCATCACACCTGCCCCACCACCATCCTGGATCCGTGCATCTGCAAGCACTGGTGGGTCTACACGGACTTGCTGAGGGAGCACCTAGTGGCCCTGCAGGACCTGAACAGGACCCTCCAGCAGAGGATGGAGACAGAGGCTGAGTGGCGCACCAGGCTGCTGGATGAGGTGGTCCAGTAGCTCATGGAGATCTGTGCAACAATGAGCGAGGTCCTCGGCTTGCCTGCCCCACCACTGGCACCGCTCCTCCTGCATGCCAGGCCCCTGCTCCCTCAGCTCCCCCCGCC